GCACCACTCAAATTGAAGAGAAACAGCTGCAGACATGCATTAATCATTGGAACATGGAATGTACAAAATAGGAATCTAGGAAAATTGGAAGTTGTCAAAAATGAAATGGAACACATAAAAATTGATATCCTTGGCATTAGTGAGCTGAAATGGACTGGTTTTGGCCATTTTGAATCAGATAACCATATGATCTACTCTGCCAGGAATGACAGTTTGAAGAGGAATGGCGTGGCATTCATCATCACAAAGGATGTTTCAAGATCTGTCCTGAAGTACAATGCTGTCAGCGATAGGATAATATCCATACACCTACAAGGAAGACCTGTTAATACGACTATTATTCAGAGTTATGCCCCAACCACCAAAGCTAAAGATGAGGAAATTGAAGAATTTTATTAACTTCTGCAGTCTGAAATTGACTGAACATGCAATCAGGATGTGTTAATTATCACTGGTGACTGGAATGCAAAAGTTGGAAACAAAGAAGAATCACCGGTAGTTGGAAAATTTGGCCTTGGCGACAGAAATAATGCTGGAACTCGCGTGGTAGAATTTTGTAAGACCAACGACTTGTTCATAGCAAACACCTTTTTTCAGCAACACAAATGGTGGCTGTACATGTGGACTTCACCAGATGGAACACACAGGAATCAGATTGACTACATCTGTGGCAAGAGGCGGTAGAAAAGCTCAATATCTTCAGCCAAAACCAGGCCAGGAGCTGATTGTGGAACAGACCATCAACTGCTCATATGCAAGTTCAACTTAAAGTTGAAGTCAATTAAAATAAGTCCAAGAGAGCCAAATATGATCTTGAATATCTCCCTCCTGAATTTAGAGACCATCTGAAGAATAGATTTGATGCATCGAACACCAACGACCGAAAACCAGAAGAATTGTGGGAGGATATCAAGAACATTATCCATGAAGAAAGCAAGAAATCACTAAAAAGATGAGAAAGGAAGAGAAGACCAAAATGGATGACAGAAGAGACTCTGAAACTTGCCCTTGAGCAGAGAGAAGCTAAAGCCAATGGAAGAAATGACAAGATAAGAGAGCTGAACAGAAGATTTCAAAGAGCAGCTCGAGAAGACAAAACCAATTACTATAATGAAATGTGCAAAGATCTGAAGTTTGAAAACCGAAAGGGAAGAACATGCTCAGCATTTCTCAAGCTGAAAGAATTGAAGAAAAAATTTAAGCCCCGAGTTGCAATATTGAGAGATTCTATGGGCAAAATATTAAACATCAAGAGAAGATGGCAGGAGTGCACAGAATCACTGTATCAAAAGGAACTGGTTGATCTTCATCCATTTCAGGAAGTGGCATATGATCTACCACCAGTGGTACTGAAGGAGGAAGTCAAAGCTGCAATGAAGTGAAGAACAAGGCTCTGGGAATTGATGGAATTGATGGGAATTGATGGAATACCGATTGAGATATTTCAACAAATGGATACCCCATTGGAGGCACTCACTCGGTTATGCCAAGAGATTTGGAAGACAGCTACCTGGCCAACTCACTGGAAGAGATCCATATTTGTACCCATTCCAAAGGAAGGTGATCCCACAGATTGTGGAGATTATAGAATAATAGCATTAATATTGCACGCAAGTAAGATTTTACTGAAGATAATTCGGAAACGTTTGCAGCAGTATATTGACAGAGAACTTCCAGAGGTGCAAGCTGGATTCAGAAGAGGACATGGAACAAGGGATATCATAGCTGTTGTCAGATGGATCTTGGCTCAAGGCAAAGAATACCAGAAAGATGTTTACTTGTGTTTTATTGACTATGCAAAGGCATTTGATTGTGTGGATCATGACAAATTATGGATAACATTGAGAAGAATGGGAATTCCTGAACACTTGATTTTATTCATGAGGAACCTGTACCTTGACCAGGAGGCTGTCATTTGAACAGAACAAGGGGACACTGCATGGTTTAAAATCAGGAAGGGAGTGCGTCAAGGTTGTATCCTTTCCCCATACTTTTTCAATCTATATGCTGAGCAAATAATCCGAGAAGCTAGACTATATGAAGAAAAACGTGGCATCAGGATTGGAAGAAGAATCATTAACAACCTGAGATACGCAGACGATACAACTTTGCTTGCTGAAAGTGAGGATGACTTGAGGCACCTACTGATGAAGGTTGAAGAATACAGTCTGCAGTATGGATTATGTCTCAATATAAAGAAAACAAAACTCCTCACAACTGGATCAATGAGCAGCATCACAATAAAAGGAGAGAAGATTGAGGTTGTCAAAGAATTCATGTTGCTTGGTTCTACAATTGATGCCAAAGGAAGCAGCAGTCAGGACATTAGACGACATGTAGAATTGGGAAAGTCAACTGTGAAGGAACTGTTTCAAGTGCTGAGGAGCAAGGATGTCTCCTTGAGGACTAAGGTGCGCCTGACACAAGCCATGATATTTCCAATTGCCTCGTATGCATGTGAGAGCTGGACAATGAATAAGGAAGACCAAAGAGTTGGTGCTTTTGAGTTGTGGTCCTGGCGAAGAATGCTGAAAGTACCGTGGACAGTTAAAAGAACTAACAGACCTGTCCTGGAGGAAGTGCACCTGAAATGCTCCTCGGAAGTGAGAATGGCCAAGCTTCGTTTTACCTATTTTGGTCATGTTGTAAGAAGGGACCATTCCTTGGAGAAGGATGTCATGCTTGGTAGGGTGGAGGGTCAACGAAAGAGGGGTAGGCCTTCAATGAGATGGATTGATATGGTGGCTGCAATGATGGGCTCAAGTATAGCAGGGATCGTGGAGGTTGCGCAGGATCGGGCAGTGTTTTGTTCTGCTGTGCATGGGGTGGTTATGAGTCGGAAATGACTCGATGGCACCTAACAACAAGAAACTAATATAATTACATAAGTTTGAATGAAGTAGTCTTTTGGGGAGTCACATTAGTCACAGATGGTCTATTTTAGTATAGTCATGTGACCAAGGTATAAATTAAATATACAGTTAAACAGCAGTTGGTTTTATTTGCAAATTTCCGGGTCTAAATTATGAAGAAATGATCCAAGTTTTGTTTTTAACCATAGCATATGTGGATCTTAATGGGTGGAAGAAACATGTTGACTAGTAAAGTCTATGAATAAAAATATTAATCTTTGTCAATGTTGATAGAAATTCATTATTTTATAATTGTGATTAAAAATTATAGGTTTATTTTCAATAAATGCACCAGAACCACATCATTTTCTTTTAAATATATGTATAGCATAGCTTTGGAGTCCTAAACACACTGTAATATTTTGCACTGTCATCTCTCCTTGATTTTTATGAACCTAAAAAAAAAAGAGCTTAATTACATTTTCTTGGGACATTTAATGAGCCAAAGCTGGAGCTACAAAAAGGGCTGGGAAATTTCCACTTAAGTGGAGATCTAACTTTATAAATGTACTTTATCAGTTTTTCAAAGGAAATCTTTCAATTTACTGTTTGTTAGCCATTGCTACAACATGTCTGTTGTTAGCCATTGCTACAACATTGCTACAAGCAGTCATGGTGTCTGCTTTGGGGACAGAAAGGATACTTTTAATTTGATCTCTGACTAATGGTTTTTAATCAACTTAATTTCAAATATTAATATGTATGGTATTTTTTTTTCTTGCTAGGAGTTTTTTAAGATATAATCTTTTATTGTCTGTGCTACATTGTTGTATTGAATATATTTTTATTTTCTTACTTTCTTAATGACTCTATGGAGATAGAGGCTTGAGAATTTGAGATAAAGGGTCCGACTCAACAGCACATAACAACAACAACAATATCCAAAAAAAAAAAAGTTCTTTTCAAAACCTAAGAGCAATGCAGATAAGTGCACGTGAATACTTGTCCTGGTGCAGGAATACAATATATTGAACGCGAGATTTTTATTATAAGTATTAAACAGAGAAATGTAATTTACCTATTTTATTATTATTACCTGTTAATAGAACATTAATATGAAGTACAGCTTTGAATTTTCAGAACCCTCAAATAATCATTCTAGATAACCTTAAGATTTTCAGATAAGGATGTAGCTTCAAGTCATCATTTAATAAAAAGATATCTTAGATGGAAATTTTTAGAATACATGCCGGCCAATTTATTAACCAGAACTCATTGAACTAAATTTAAATCTTGAGTTGATTCCATGTCATCATTTTGTGCATAAAGTATAGGAATGCATTTACTGCCCTTGAGGGTAACAGGATATCCCAGAACCACAGCAATCTAGATTTTCCCAGTTTCTGATTTTCACTTTTATTCTGTTGTGGAAAAATTAAAATAAGTAGGTGCTTATAATTCCCTCTACTGGAATAAATCATTAAGCAATGACTGTGCTTTCTTCTTAAATTTTCCAATGATAATAAACCAAACCAAACTTACTGCCATCAAGTCCATTTGGACTCATAGGGAGCCCCTTTGGGTTTCTGAGGTGGTAAATCTGTATGGAGTGGATTGTCCAGTCTTCCTCCTGCAGAGTGGCTGGTGTGTTTGAACTGTCAACCTTCTGATTAGCAGTCAAATGCCTTAGAACTTAAAACTCATCAGAGTATCAGGGTTGGTGTGATGAAAATATCAATAGATATTCTTCACTATTAAGTTCTGATCATATGAACAACTGTTGATTACATGCTTTGAATTGCAAACAGTTTTGTGTTAGTAACAGCTCACAATTCAATTCAGGAAGCATTTCTAAGCATATATATATTCATTAATAAAGGGATAAAAGGAAACAAAAAATACAGTTAATTCTCTTCAAGAGATTATAATCTTAGAATATAGAGAGTCTTACTGACTAATGAAATGCAAATCCTCTACCCCCATATTTTAATAATATTCAGTCTGAATAATTATAGGTAGACTTAAATTTTTATTTACTGATACACACACACACACATACTTATATATGTGTGTGTGTATGTATATATTTAAATACACATAAATATTTAGTCCTCATTATCATCTAACATTTTCTGTTTTATTCAACAGAAATCTTCTGGACAGAGACACATTTTCAAAATCGGATCCAAGTAAGTATCTATAGCTTGCTTTTTAAAAGCATCTATTTGTTTGACCTACTTGATTTTTGCAGGCATTTTATGAAACTCATAGTTTTTAATCAGATTGTCTTAAAGCCTAGACTACAGGAAGAGGGGTGGTCCCTTGCACACCTTACCTACCAGGTTGTTGCTGTGGCTAAAGAGGAAGTTGCTTGGCACTTTGGGAGTAAGATGAAAGTGAAGATGACTCCAACAAAGGGCAGTTAACTTTGAAATTATATGACAGAAAATTTTATTGAGCCATAATTTCAAGTGATTTAGACAGAGTTCCTTTTCTTTCTTTTTGAATAAAAGTAATCTATAAAGGCATACACAACCCAATGAATTTGTTTTACAACATCTTCTGTTTATGAGCTGAATTGTTTGATTCCTAATTAGAGATATGGAAAGTTAGAGAGAATTTGGAAAAACGAAAAGGGAAGCAGGTTTGAATTAGAAAGCAGCAGAATTAATTGTAGAAATGAGTTAGTTTTTTCAAATCTCGAAATATTTGGAAACTGATATCCAGCAGTTCTCCATCTATACAAAACAAATGCTGGAGCAAATAAAATTTGATTACAGAGGGAAGGTTTTTGTCAGGTGATATGTGAATACCTAAGATAATCATTGGAGAAGAAGGTATCACAATTTATATTGAACAATTCTTGATGAATAGGCAAATAATCAATTTATTTGACAAATAGGTGATACTCATTTTATCTCTTAATCTTTACCCTAAATGTTTAGTCTTCCTTGTTGGGACTTCTTTTCATGGTTGAGAGGATTTTTGACTACTTTACCATATGGATGGTGGGAGTTACATATATTACACAGAGAGTAAGATTTGCCCCAGGTAGTTGTGATGGCTCTGAGCACTGTAGTATGTTGGGGCATACGTCTAGTAACGTACTGAAATACTTAGAAACTGTTAAACTGTAGTTTTTAAATTACGTCTGTTTGTAGCATAATGCACACAAAGGCATTAGCAAGTAATTCTTGTACCCGTGTGCCCAGCTCTATGCCTAAAGTCCTTAACATCTGATATAGTGTATTTTGGGTTTCTTTATAATAATTTTTAATCATTTGATAATTTATTAGTCTTAACAAGGGTAAGATAAGGAACTAGGCATTAATTTTTGTTGTAGCTTTTAAACAGCTGAAAAATAAATTGTATGTGTATAAATATTAACACCTGTTGTTTATCAAATAAATTTATAAATATATAATATGTATTTTTTCCATCTTTTGTAGTTTGTGTCTTATATGTACAAGGAGTTGGAAATAAAGAATGGAGGGAGGTAAGAATTAAAAATACTTTAAAAAGTTACTGTAGAGGAAGATATAATATGGTCAAAAAGATACTATTTCTTTTTCAGTCTTTCCAACTTAAAGACTGACTGAGCTGTTTTATTTTATGAAAGTCATGTTTTTCTTTTGTTTTTAATAATCCTGAATATTGGTCTGGTTTATGACCTTCCTGGGAATATTCTAGCCTTGAAACTTGTATTTTCCTTAGTCAAAACTAAATTTAATGTGTTGCAACCTACTTGACATGATTACCTGTATAATTTAAGTCTATGAACTTAGTCTCAGTTAGAGAGGTCAACTTCTGTTTTTCACTTTAAAAGGTTTTATGGCTGGTGCTGTAAGTATCACTTGCTTTTTGCCACTTAGTAATTTATCATGTGAAATTAAGTCAAAATTTGGTTTCTGACTTTAAATATACATTGTTTAGTAAAACAAAAGAAGAAGGCAAAATTATTTTACTTTTTTTTTTCTCCTATAGTATCTATGGCACATAACAACAACAACAACAACAACAACAACAATAGTATCTACATTTAAATTGAAGATTGATCTTCGGGGAGTGGGAAGGAGGTATTAAAATAAGAGACACTTCCATCTCTATGTAGTTGCTTATTGTCTCAGGAAGTTAGTGGACTGATAAAATGAGATGACTGTTTCTGGCTAGATTTCCCTGTGGCCTACTGAGATTCATGCTATTTGTTGCTGCAGATTGCTTTGCAACCAATGTGTCCCATTAGTTAGCTAGAGGATAAGAATGTTGTTGTTGTTGTTGTTGTTATGTGCACTAGAGTCAGACCTGACTCATAGCGACCCCTCCTTGGGTTTCCAAGGTGGTATCACTATGAAAGTAGATTGCCCAACCTTCCTTCCTAGGAGTGGCTGGTGGGTTGAACTGCCAGCCTTCTGGTTAGCAGTCAAGTGCCTTAGGCACTACGCTACCAGAGCTCCTAGAGGGTAAGAATGGATCATTGTAATTTAGTCTCAAAAAAAAAAAAAAAAGGGAAAAAATAACTAAACAATTCTCCCTACTGATAGTGGGCCAGTGGTCAGTGGAATATTGAGTACCAGTCTCTGATGTCTACCTGGTTTGGCACATTTACATACATTGTCCCATAGTGGCACAAACAGTTTGCACTCAGCTACTAACCAAAAGGTTTATGGTTTAATCCTACCTAGTGGTGCTGTGGAAGAAAGGTCATAAACTCAAAGATGTTGAAAACCCTGTGGGGTGGTGTTTGTTCTCACATGTGGGGTCACCATGAATCTGAATTGATTTGATGGCAATGGGTTTGGGTTTTTGGGTTCCATACTTACCTCAAACTTTACATATCTGTGGTACAGTGAATTACTTGGGATGACTCTTCTAGCCATGGTCACTATGACTCCCACCAACTGACCGGGTGGAACTATGCAAATATAAGGTGCCTTAGGTACTATGCCATGAGAGCTGCTCTAGTCTCCTAAACTAAGATAAAATAAATTTCTGTTTGTTAAAGCTACTGACTTGTGGTATTTCTGTTATAGGAGCACTAGGTAACTAAGACAGAGTTTGGTGCTAGGAGTGGGATGCTGCTCTAAGAAATAACTAAAATGTAGAAGTGCTTTTGGAATTGGGTAATGGGTAGAGACTGGAAGAGTTTAAGGTGCCTAATAGTAAAAGCTTGGGAGCTTTGGTAGCATAGTGCCTAAGGCACTTGACTGCTAACCAGAAGGCTGGTGGTTCAAAGCCACCAGCCACTACTTGGAAGGAAGATGGGGCAATCTACTTTCGTAGTGATACTGCCTCGGCAACCCAAGGAGGGGTCGCTATGAGTCGGGTCTGACTTGACAGCACATAACAACAACAACAATAGTAAAAGCTTAGATTGACTTGAAGAGACTGTTGGTAGAATTATGGATGTCAAAGGCAATTATGGTGAGGGCTCAGGAAGAAATGAGTAGAGCTATAAAGTGTCTGTTGTTTCAGAGAATACATATGGAACCAGCAACAGAATGTTGCTAGAAATATGGATGTTAAAAGTGCTTCTGGTGAAGCATTAAAAGAAAATGATGAACATGTAATTGGAAGACAATGGAAGAAGGATGATATTTTTTATGCATTGGCAAAGAACTTGTCTGAACTACATTCAGATGTTCAGTAGAAGGTAGAACTTGTAAGTGATGAATATAAATATCTGGCTGATGAGATTTCTAGGCAAGATCTGAAAGGGGCTGTGTGGTTTCTTCTGCGACTTACACTAAAATGTGAGAGAAAAGAGATGGACTTCAAAATGAACTGTGCAAAATGAAGACAGAATTTAAAAACTCTGCTGTATAAACTAAGGACATGTGTCCTGATACTTTCACCAAGGACATGGATACACAGTCTTTTGTTAAAAAAAGGATTAAGCCTGTGGCTGATGATCCTGGAACAAAACTAACCAGCTATCATAGCAGAAAATCCATCATTGTAGTTGAAGGGGACAGAGAAAGAACGAAAGGAAAGAATACTGTCTGCCTCTTGGCAAGAAATAGGCCAAAGGAGCTACATCTACTGTCCACCAAGAAAAGAAAAGGACTGTCCTGGAGCAGCTTGGAATCTGCAGAACTATTGGAAGAAGCACAAAAAGCAGGGCCTCCTTGGCTTCAAGATGCTCTGGTGATGTAGTGCCTAAGGCATTTGGCTGCTAATCAGAAGGCTGGTGGTTCAAAGCAGGGCCTCCTTGACTTTAGGGAGCTCTGGTGGTGTAGTGCCTAAGGCTTCTGACTGCTAACCAGAAGGCTGGCTGTTCAAACCCATCAGCCACTCCTTGGAAGGAAGGTTGGGTAATCTACTTCTGTAGTGACCACCTCAGAAACCCAAGGAGGGGTCGCTGTCAGTCAGGTCCAACTTGACGGCACATAACAACAATGACCTTGGCTTCAAAGATGGGGCCATGGACCCCTGGATCTCAAAGAATTGGGCCATAGCCTCCTAAGTTTCAGAAAGTCAAATCTTCACCAACTCAGTTCTGGAATGTAGGACACCCATTAAGGTGTGCCAGAGAGATGGCACACTGCCCAAATCTGCAGGGGCATAGCTGCCATGCCCACACGGTAGAAGAATGGGGCCTCTGGGGCCAAGGCAGTGGGGTGCCACTCAGATAGGTTTGCAGAATGGAGTCATCTGAAGTTGAGGGAGCAGAGCTGCTATCCCAGTGGGCTTGGAAAGTGGAACTGAAGCCCAGGGCCGAGGGACCTCCGCCCAGAATCCAGAAAGCATGGCCAACACCCAGAGTCTAGAGGCAGGTCTATTGTCTAGATGGTCTCAGAGAACAGAGGATTATTTTCAAATCTTGAGAACGAATATGATTTGTTCTGCTGGATTTTAGATTTTCTCACTGCTTGTTATTAATTCTTTTCCTCCAACATCACCAATTCTTATTGAGAATGTCTACTTTGTGCCTATTACACCATTGTACCTTGGAAATGGATAACTTGTATTTTAGATTTCACAGGTTCACAGATGAAGAGGAATTTTGCCCCAGAATTGAATATACCTAAATTCTCACCCATATTTGATTTAGATAATTCAGAAGGTGAGATTTTGGACTTGGAGTTGATTTAAGACTTTCAGGATGATGTGATGAAGTGAATGTGTTTTGCATGTGGCAAGGATATGAATTTGGTGGGGAGCAAAGGGTAGAATGTTACAGCCTTGGAAACCAACCTAGTGGGGGGTTGCTGTGATTCAGAACTGATTGATGGCAGTGGATTTAGTTTTTTGGTTTTACCTCTGCCTGAGGTTATAAATCTCATATGAGAATGGTTTGTTACATTAATGAGGCAGTTTTAATGTAGGGTCTGTCTTGAGTCAATCTCTTTTGAAATATAAAGGAAACTAAACAAGCTTGTGAAATCAAAGATGATGAAGATCACACAGGAGCAGAAGCTCAGAAGAGACAAGGACCTGCCCCTGGAGCTTACAGAGAAAGCCTTCCCCTGGAGCCAGCACCCTCATTTTGGTCTTCCAGTATCCTAAACTGAGAAAATAAATTTCTGTTTGTTGAAGCCACTCACTTGTGGTATTTGTGTAATAGCAGTAATAGATAACCAAGAGAGCTGTCTTTCTAAAAGACTTGTTGTTTCTTGTCTTTCTCAAGGAATGGAGATAATCTAGTAGAACTGCTGACTGGTCATGTGTGCCAAGCTAGATGGTACTAGGCTTTACCTGGAATGTCTTAAAAGTGACATTATTCGAGGGACCGAAAAAAGAGACCAACGTAAGCATACCTAGGGTACAGGACCAGGCATCTAGGCCAGTGCAGATCCCTAATGATGAGGAAATTGGGAACTTCACTGGGTAAGGGGAGTGTGGGAAAGGACGGCGTAAAATGTTTCAGAATTTAACCAGTGTTCTCTGAGCTCATTTCTATTTGTTGCTAACAAAATGGCATTGACTAGCTAGTTTAAAGCACAGACTCAGCTCAAACTTTTAAAAAACTATGGACTATTTTAAGGCTTATTGTCTATGGAATAAAATATAAATAATCTAATTCACAAGGTTTTTCATAATAGTAATCATTAACTACTGTTCTCAGCCCTGGTGACTAATTTGCTTTACAAAATAGCCTTATAAGGTAGGTATTGTTATATTCTTTATTTTACTCATGAGGAAACTGAAGCACAGAAATGTTAGTTAACTTGCCTAGAGTAATCCAGTTGTGAGTGACAGAGTGTGCATTTTAACCCAATTCTTCTGGCTCTGGTGCCCTTGCTGTTAGGCCACCATTGTTGTTGTTGTTGTTGTTATGTGCCGTCGAGTCGGCCCGACTCATAGCGACCCCTCCTTGGGTTTCCGAGGCAGTATCACTACAGAAGTAGGATTGCCCAACCTTCCTTCC